TGATGATTTGTGCATGGTGTAAGATAGGGGTGTAGTTTTATTCTTTTGCATGTGACTGTCCAGTTTTCCTGGCACCATATTGAAGAGAATGTCCTTTCCTCGTTGTCATGGGCTCCACAGTTAGAGCATCACTGGGTTTCACCTCTGTGCAGCCAGAACCAGATGATGGTCATTTACTGTTGTCTTCTTCACAGATGCAGCCCACTATCCGCTTGCTGGTGACGGAGGGGGCTAAATTAGGGTCCTCCTTGGCACCTGAAGCTGCCTTTGGGACGAGCATGTCATATGGGTCCAGTCCCTTCCATGCAGCCATCTTGACTTCCCTCTGCAGCCCAGTTGCCTGCTGTTCATCAGTAGGAACACCTGCGGTCCTGTGGGGGCCCAGGGATACATGCCCCGCTGGCCACAGAGCCACACGATCTAAGGTGTCTCCTGGGCGGCAGCTCCAAAACCTGGAGCGCCTGATGTGATGCACTGTTTTTTTGTTTGTTTTTTAAGATCAGTGATGCTTCAAGCCTGAATTTTCATCACCCCAAGATTTTTGGGGGAGGGCAACAAATTAAACGAGCAAACATTATTTTAACTTAAATAGTTGTATTTTTAAAAAGGGAGACCAGTTGCAGTGAGTGGTTTGAGAGGAGGAATGAATCAACTGAGAAAATGAGTATTGCCATTCCAGTGGTATTAACTGGAAAACTTTACCAGCATGTTTCCTACCTCATTACTCAGTGTTGTAACTAGAAAGCAGATTAACTAGGTGTCCCGAGACAGCACGTGCAGCATTTGGGTTATGGAGCTCTTTGGTCTGTGCATGTGTTTGAAGACGAAGACAGTTACCCTGACGTTGCCCTGAGAGGGTGAAGGGTCAGATGGAAAACGTGGTACTGAGGCAGGACAGTCGAGTATTTTTTCTTTACATGTTCTAGAGAAACCCCGAAACTCCTCCAGACTCTCAGAGACCTCTTAGTAGAAACTGATTTGGGGAGTTATCTTTCCAAGGCCTGGGAGGCATGGGGTGCAGGGACCTTCCATGAGGCATTAAGAGATTCAAGGAGGTTGTAGAGAGCACAGCCGGGGCCAAACCTGGGTTGGGTAAGTGGCGAGCACTGGCTCTTTCCGGGAATTAGACCAGTGAAACAAAGTTGTTATTACATCAGGAACGTCCTGATCAAACTGATCTCAGGAGCCTTGAGAGCTGTAAGCTGTTCCTTCTGACTAGGTCAGCTGGAAGGGAAGGCCTAGAAATAGAGCTCTGTCTTTAGCTGGAACCGTTAATAGTGTTTGGTCTGAGTTTTAAGTGAAGGTAAAGTGAGAATTCTCACGTTGATGTAACGAAATTATTTTCAGAATCCTCTTCAATCTCATTACTGGTCATTCTCAAATTCCAGCCATAACTGAAAGGATTTCAAGAGTAGCTTTGCGTTTCTTCAACAAGGGCTGAGAATTTTTGACACTTAGCATTAGGTCAGAGATTTAATTGAACTGTACAAGTGAGTTAATGGAATCCTTCAGAAAAATAATACAAGAATTTATTATTCTCCTGGAAAGCTTTAAACAAGGTCATGTTCAAAGTAGCAGACTTGGAAGATAAGAAAATTTGAACTTTTCAATAAAAATTTTAAAGATATCTTGTTTACTGTTACTTTGATAATATCAGGCAAAATATTTGATAAATCTTTGGTTCCTGGTAGGATACGCTGTCATGGTAGATAAGTAAATAATCAAACGTGGGCCTTCAGCTCAAGTAGCAGAGGTAAACATAAGCGAGCCATGACTTAAGGCAGAGCGACTGCCCGAACTGAGAGAAACGAATGATGTCAGACTGAGGCCGGCAAAGGCGCCCTCCCAGAAGTGGCTCTTGACTAAGATCTTAATAGAAAAGTCCTGGAAGGACATTCCAGGGAGGAGACAAAGCTGTTACAGAGACGAGGAGGCGCAGAAGCACGCGACCTGGGTGGGAAATAGCACATAGGTTGTGGCCGGAACGTTGTGATGTTTGGAAAGAAACTGGATGAAATGAGGCCATATAAATAGTCTGAAATAGAATCATTGTGAATCCTTTCTATTTTAGAAGAATGGTGAGAATTAATTAAGTTCAACATACTTAAACCACATTTTTAATATATATACATGTGTATATGTGTGTATATATATGTATATAATTTGGGGTAATGTTCGTTAGTTTTTTTAATTTTGAAAAGCCCATATTTTCTCTCAGCTTTAGAGTGTTGCTATGAGTGACCTCAGTTGCTCAGGCAACTGCAGTTAATATTTGTTTGAAGAAAAGCTTCTATGGGGAAAAAATTTCGAAAACTGCTTGCTGAGTTTTGAAGTGAACCACTCATCCAGTTCACTTTTCACGAGGAAGGTGGGATCTTGTAGGTGGCCAGTGACGGGACCAGAAATAGAAATAGCATTAGATTACCAGTCAACGTCTGTTCCAGTGAATTTAAAATGACTTTGTTTATGATGTTGATAAAACGGCTGAAAGTTCAAATAAAAATGTGTTTAAGGGCAAAGCTACTAGAGAACTGACCTCTTGAGACAGAAAAGATACTTCACTTTTTCCCCCGGGTTAAAGGGATTAAGCCATATTTGTGCTTTCTCAAGAACTTCCATTTTTTTTCACAAACCTAGGTCCTGTTTTCCTCTTAAAAAGACAGAATCGAGCTACTTCTTTCTATTCAGCGTTTTATTGGAGGTTCTCTCTCAGTGCAATTAGGCAAGAAAGAGAAATAACATGGCAAGGATTTGAATAGACATTTTTCTGAAGACGACACACAAACAGCCACTAAGCACGTGAAAGGTGCTCAGGTTCGTTAGTCATTGGGAAATGCAAGTCAAAACTGCAGTGAGGTGCCGCTTCCATCTACTGAGGTGGTTGTAATAAGACTAGAAAGCATGTGCAACACCATATTGTATAAGGGACTTGAGCACTCATGGATTTTAGTAGAACCATATACTGCAGGACAGCTGTATTGGCCAGGATATGGAGAAATTGGAACCCTCTCTCACAGGTGCTGGTGGGAAAGTGAAATGGTTCAGTCACTCCAGAAACCCGTTCAGTTCCTCAAAAAGGTAAACAGTCACCATGTGACCTGGCAGTCCTACTCTTAGCTGTATACCAAGAGAATTAAACGTACACGTTTACGCAGAAAGTTGGATGTAAATGCTCACTAGCATTATTAGCAGCATCAATCATAATAGTCAAGAAGTGTAAAACCAGCCAAAATGTCATGGACTGGTGAGTGGATACCCAAAATGTGGCATGACATATCCATTACAGTGGAGTGTTATTCAGCCAGAAAAGGGAATGAAGTGCTGGTCACGCTACAACATGGATGAATCGGGGAAGCACTGAATTCGGTGGGAGAAACTAGACACAAAAGGCCGCGTGTTCTTTGATCCCAATTGAATGTCTGGGACCACAGATTGAGAGGCAGAAAGTAGCTTCCATACTTGCCCGGAGCTGTAGGGAGAGGAGGATGGGTAGGCGTGGAGTTTCTTTTTGGGATGACGGAAATATTTTAATATTAGATGGTAGGGACAGTTGCACTAAATTTTTTTTAAAAGTTCAATTTGTTTTAAATATGTTGAACTTAACTCTTAATGTACTAAAACTGTTGAATTGTATGTTTTAAAAGAGTGAATTTTGTGCTATGTGAAGTACATCAATTAAAAAAACTTATTTAGCATGCAACCAAGAGGCAGAAACCATATAGTAATTTGAACAGTGAAAATTTAACGTATGGAATTATTAACTATAACATGATTGAAGAACAGGGATCAGCTAGTAAGAAGTAAAGAGATCTTTAATGAATACAGGAAAAGCACATTTATTAAGTACCCGCTAACCTCAGGACCGAGACAGAGTGCCTCGGAAGAGGCTGTCATCTCCTACGTCTGGGGTCCAGGCTTTGTGGGGGAGAGTGCAGCCATCACTTAATGGGTGGTGGAGTTGCTGAGATGCCAAGCTGACTGGAAATTGTCTCTTTGGGGTACTTGGGAAGGCCAGCCACAGAGAGTGCTGCACCTTGGAACTCGCTGCAAGCCACACGAAGGGACGCTAGGGAAAGCCACTCACTGGCCGATGCCTTGCTGGTGCCACCGTGCTAAGGTGCTAGAGAGGCAGATGCCGCGGGAGCCTGGCTGGAGTCTGGAGCTGGGAAGACCAAGCCCTTTCTCCTGCAGTGTACCTCTAGCTGCTTCTACTGACAAAGCCGTGTATCTTGCCAGTTGGCCAAAGAGCAGTATTTAAAGGGCCCATCTCCACTTTCACAAAGCAGCCACTCATGGGTGGGTTTTGATTGTGAAGGGAATAAATTGATAGCTGAAGAACCTGTGTCAGACCCTGTGCCAATTTACTGTATGTTCTGTTACAGTGTATTCTAAGGAAAATGTTCATCTCAGAATAGCTAAACAGAATTTCAGAGTATATATCCCTGTAACACTTTTAGAGAATTTTGTTTTAAATTTGTTCAAAAGGCAACTCATGATCACTAAAAATCATTGAACATATAGAAGTGTTTAAAATACACACATTTCCCTCTAATCCCTCAGTCCCTTACCGTCTGTTTCATTCATGTCTCCTGCAGCTCTAACTTGCTGACAATTGGTGTGTGGTTTTTTCTGTATACGCGGCTGTGCAATATGTGTGTGTATTTGTATTTTTTCCTAATAATAGAGGTATTACATGTAGGTAACACGCATGAGCTATTGTGGGTTTTTGTTTGAAGGATATAATACTCGCTCAGTTGCCAAGCGCTTGTGTAGGTTGGTAAGTCGCATAATTGTTCTCTTTGATTTTCCTAAACTTTAGAAATGAAGGGACTTTTACTAAGGGAAGTTTAAAATCCATAATGGATATAGTTTGGTCATAGAAGTAAGGGAGGGAGAGGTAGTCTGGTAACCATTCATCAGCCAGCAATTTTTGGTTTAGCTGGATGGTCATATTTTTCCATGTGTTTTGCCATTTAAGTGTCTCTTTTGTTAAATATTTATGCATGTTTATGTGTGTGTTGCTGGCTACACATGCTATTTAAGTTTCAATGAAATTTGAGTCATAGAAATTTTTTGTTTTTTTCTTTAGAAAAATCCTGCAAAAATGTCTCTGTACCCGTCTCTTGAAGACCTGAAGGTAGACAAGGTGATCCAGGTACGTGCCAGATGTTTAAGTGCCTTTTTCCACATGCTCTGCCATGCATTTTGGTTATAGGTGGACTGAAGCATGAAACTGCCAAATAGATGTATTTGCTCATTTTTACACTTCATAAACTTGTTTTCAATTTTTTCTAACTGAATAGTTAGTTAGAAAAGCTAGAGATTCTTCTTCATTTCACTGTGAACTAATGGGCACGGGATATTATTTCTTTGAAACTGGACTTGAATTCTTCAGAGATAACTTGATTTTTATGACAAAGGTTTAAATTAATTTTTAAGCTGGTAAAATACACTCCAACTTCTCAGATGTTCATTGTCTTACTTAAAATACGTACATTGTTCTTTGGGGTCTTAAGGTATGACCAGTCTTTAAAATAATTCTTTGCTTTCTCAGAAGTAAAAGTTGTAGGAACAGGGGAGTGTGTGCTGCTTTTAGAAAAGTAGGTGTGGAAAGAACACTGAAAGCGCAGTGCTTCATTTCCTTTGAGATGTAAGCAGCAGATGGGTCACGCGTTCCTGCTCTGAACGGCTGTTAGAGAATGCAGCATTTCTACTTTCACTGAGTCAGAAATGGAGTGAGTGTAGTCCTTTATGGAAGTGTTACTTCTGAAGACAGATGCTTCTGCTTGAGAGGAAAGTCTGGGATTGGGATAAATTCTTGCTGCTTTATAAACTTTTTAATTATTTTTAACTGGAGATAATTCATAGTATTTAATGAACTCATGTTTCCAGTTTACTTCCAACTTGACCTCTTACAAACTCATTTTTTTCTGCTGCTGTTCATTCTTTTCATTTGACAAGATAAATCAAACTTGTTAATACGTCTTCACTCCTAAAACCTTTTTGATATGATACATGTGATGAAATTCTTCTTGAATTCTTTAGTGCTTCAAAGCTTCTTACCCTAAAGATCATTTTGCTTGAGGCCTTGGCCTCAATTTACTGTGAGATTTACTTCTTAATTATTTAATGAGCACAAAAAGTTTGTTATAAACTTGTGAGAAAGTCTTAACCAACCTCAAGAATACAAGTGTTTTTTAGGCAAAATGTTGGCCCTTTTAGGATGGAAAAACCCAGCAAAAATAGTAACAAATGTGTAGCTGAAATTGTAACCTTGTAGCAGTTATTGGATAAATGGGGGGGAGGTGATAATGAACACGTACTTCCCATCATAGGTCCCCTGTGGATATTGCTTGGTGATCTGTAACATCCCTGACATCTGTTCAGCTGCCAAGGCTTTGATGCCTCACAGTTTTAAGTGGTCTGTTCAGTCATCTCGAATCTCTCTCACTTTTTTCTTCAGTATTGTGTCATTCTTATATGGTTTTTATTTCCACTAAGTGTATTTGAACAGGTGCACTTTCTTTTTAAAAAGCTTTTATTTGAACTCTTTAGCCTTCAGGAATAACAATTAAGTCATTAGTATGACATCAGGGCGCACTAAGTGATAAGGGTTTGCAGAAGGGTCTAGAAGAATGGCTAATTTCTTTTTCATCCTTTTTTTGTTAGCTTTTTATGGAATTAAACTTTAAATTAACCATAGACTTTTAGCAGGGGTTTTTGATTTTGAAAACAGAAAAAGAAGGAAACAGTTGATATTGACAGATGCTGGGGTGGAACGTGAGGAGGGCTGCAATCTGTATCAGGCTGACCGCTTTAAGGGGAAGCAGATTATATGAGTATTTCCCGTATACCCATTGGAAGACTTTGTATGTTCTGAGCAGAAAGCTGGCTGCCTGGAGACGGAGCAATGAGTAAGGAGCAGGAAACATGGTTTTTAAATCTCACTGGATTTTATAATAACCTAACCTAGCCAGTAAAGTCTTGGGCTGTTTTTGTTTTTTTTCCCTTTCTATGGTAGGTGGTACTTGAGTTTATTATTTTTTTTTCAAGATGCCCCTGTAAAAGTAGTATTTACTCATTTTCTAGTTTTCTGCTCTTTTACACCACAGCAGAACTAAACTGCAGCAGTGAACTGGTAGTTCATGTTTTGTAAACTGTTTTACTGTAGCCATTAGGCTGTGGCTTTCAGCATCATACAGTCCCTGAACCTCTCTCTCCATTAGGAATCTTTAATGGGAGCCTGTGGCTGCCATATCTACACAAAAGAAGCTTTTAAGAAACAGCAATTTCCTCAGTTTCCTATTAGAGTGAGCAGAGGTTCACACTGGTGGCTCCAGGAGATGGTGTCTGCACGTGCTTTCTGTAATAGCAGGAACAACATCCTCTGGTAGTAACTTGTGTGATCCTTGGAACACCCTCCCCTCACTTTTTTTTTTTTTTTTTTACTAGTTTGAGATTTCAAGGAAGGGTGAAATAATTTGCTACATTTAATGGCTTATAATCCTTAAACCCTTGTTGTACTTTCCTTGTAGTTCTTTTATTTTTACTACAGATTATATAATAATTATGTAACTTTGTTTGCAGAGAGCTTTTTGTATATGTTCTTACTTAAGTATTCCTTGGATAGGAGCAATAGCAGTGAATGAAAGAACAGAAAGTAATGAAACAGTGTGAAAAAGAATCAGTTTCTTAAAATTAGTAAATTTTGTTTTTCAGAGCTGCTTTAGGTTCACAGCAAAATTGAATGGAAGGTCGTTTCCATCTTAGCGACCCCCGTGCGCCACTCCCCCACGCCCCGGTGCAGCGCACACGGTGCTCGTCCTCCCCACTCGCAGCGCCCCCGCCGGAGTGCTGCCCTTCTTAGAGCTGCCACGCCAGGTCCACGGTTACGACAGGGTTCTCTCCCATGGTGTTCGCTCTGCTGGTTTGGACAAATGTATGGTGGCATGTGGCCACTGTTGTAGTGTCGTGTAGAATACTTCCACTGTCCTCGCGGTCCTCTGCTCTGTCTCTCTCTCCTTCCCCACTAATTCATGGCAACCACTGATCTAAACTGTCTCCATAGTTTTGCCTTTTCTAGGATGTCTCGTAGAGTTGTACAGTATTTAGACTTTTCAGAATGGTTTCTTTCACTTAGTAATACGTGTCTAAGGTTCCTCCGTGTCTTTCCATGGCTGAGTATCCCATTTCTTTTTAGTGCTGAACAGTATTTTTTTCTTAGAGATTATCCAAGAAGTAATCCACTGGCTACTAGCTACTATTAGCTGAGAGTTGGTGAAAGAATATTCAAAATTCAACATACTTTAAGTTTGTGGGTATACTTAAAATTATAAAGATTTTCATGCTGCATTTAATTTCAGTTTAGATTGTAACAAATTATGACACAATAAATATTAAAGAATGACTCGGTGACAAGCATATCAGAACATTTACAGTCTGAATGAGTAAAGTACTTTTTGTGCTCCTGTAGGCTTTCCTGATTGAAGTTAAGCTTCCGTCTCTCCAAGCATCTTCGGGACTTCTCTTAGCATTAACGTCAGGGCTAGGCTGTGGTACAGGTATAAGCTCCATCACTTAATTGACATATTGCTGATTAAGTGAAAAAAGGTATTAGAGGTGGATCGTACACCTGACCGCCCCCTAGTGACATACGGCTCTTAGAAAGTCAGATGTCTCTGTAAAGGAAAGAGGAGCGCCATCAGTGGCACACTGAGCGTGGCATGGGCTGGGAAGGCGGCCCGGAGAGGAGTTCCTGGCAGATACGAGTAGTCTTGGTAAATGTGCGCGTTGTCAAAGTTTCGGCAAGTTCAACAGTTACAAATCACATTACTTTACCATCGTTTTTAGTAAGTGATAAGGTATGTGTTTTGCACACTTTGTAATATTTTTGTGTTTAGTATAACGACCCCTTCTTATACTTGCTAAAATGTTGATAGTCTCAGTGGGATGTGCTAAAATGGCAAAATAAATATTAGCAACTTAGTAAGTATTTAAATTTTTAGGTGTCTTTCTGGTGTATGACTTTATGTAAATACGGTTGAGCTTTTTTCTTATGTAAATAAGATACTTTAAATTAGACTAATTAGCAACATAATAATGAAAATATAAAATGTGTGATCACCCATTTTATAGTGCATTTTGAAAATACTAATCTGCAGTAGCACAATGAAGTATAAGGTTATAAGGTATGTAGATCGGTGCCTAGTCAGGTTTTAAATGACAGCATTAAATGTTTACAATATGAAATATATTTTTGACTTGTGGATTTTCTTTGAAACATATTGCTGAAGTGTTTGAAATTAAAATTTCTTGAATAAAACTAGTGTTTTTGAATAAAACTAGGTTCAATTTATACATTTTGTAAGTTTAAGTAAGTATTTGTATAGCATTGTTAGAATTGTTTTCTCTTTTTCAGGCTCAAACTGCCTTTTCTGCAAACCCTGCCAACCCAGCAATTTTGTCTGAGGCTTCGGCTCCCATCTCTCAGGATGGAAGTAGGTTTATCCTTTGGCTTCATTCTCCTTGAACAGAGGTACTTGCTGAAATAGGGAATCCCAAGATTTTCTTTAAACATGCAGCGTAAAATTGGTGATTAAAGCTTTAGTGGTAAGAAGGAGAAATGTTTATTTCAAAAAATACCCCTTTAATCAAGAAAGTGAACTGTGAATATGAAGGTGTGTTTTGTAGCTTAATGAAAACTGAGTTACTTAAATGTTCAGTCCTCCTTAACTTATGAGTGATTCATTTATGAAAAAATTGAGCTTCCTGAACTGTCCTGTGTCTTTGCAGGGGTGGGAGGTTGGTAGAGTGGAAATTTCCAACCACCTCCTTTTGAGGGAGCGTCCTAAATCCTGAAGTCTCCACCTTTGTGCTCCGTATCCTCTCTGTCCCTTACTGCTATGTCCGTAGGGGTTCCGGACAGAACCTCTGTTTGTAGATAATAAATAATATAACGTAAAATACAAAAGGAGTGTTAAGTAGGTTTTTATGGCATGTCATCTTATAACTATAACATTGTTTCTTTTAGAAAATGCATTTTAAGTCACAAAGCATATGAAAACGAGCTTTTGGAAGAAGTACTTAACTCTACTACTCAGTTAAATACTGTTAATATTTAAATGTACTGTTTCCAAGATTTCATTGGTATGTGGTTAACATTCTTAAAATGATATGCCACTGAATAAATTTACAAGCTTTGACCGTTTTCTTGTAGCACAGAAGAAGCACCTTCCTAGCCGGGCTTACTGAATGAGTTACAGAGCAGCTGGCGTCACGGTGTAGGCTCTGGTCGATTGTTCTGAACTGGGGAGTCAGGAGTGTGCTTACAAAATTCCTCATCAAATAGGTGTATTTTAAGAAAAAGGAAAGATAAGATAATTTATTTGGAAAAATTATTTCTACTCTTAAATTTTTAGAAATCTGAGGTTTCAGTTCAAATGTCTTCATATTTTACTTTCACCTTTAATTTTCCTGTATTTTTCATTTCTGTCATTACAGAGATAGGATGGGATTTTCTAAATTGCTAATTTAAATTCATCCTAGATTTTATAAATTAAGTGTAATTTTTTTAAACACAAGTAGAAGTCCATAATAACAGTTTTTACTTTGAATATTCTACCAATTTTTTTTTCTTTCTTCATTCATTCATTTATATTAGATCTCTATCCTAAACTGTATCCTGAGCTCTCTCAGTACATGGGCCTGAGTTTAAATGAAGAAGAAATACGTGCAAATATGGGCATGGTCCCTGGAGCACCAGTTCAGGGGGTATGTATGGTGTAATTAACTTTGAATTATATAAAATCATACCTTACACAGAGATACAAGCTAAGTCCTCTTTGTGACTAACTCACAGATTTATAATTTCAGCATTGACCTCTTCTCAGGAATTTTAAACTGCCTTGTGGATATCACTTCTTACATAGTCTGCTTCCTTCTGTGCTGTTACTGGTTTTTTAATCTTTTAGAAGTTAACGACTCACATGCCTCTGACTAGTCCATTCTCCTTTGTCCTCTGCCATTAGTCAGTTACTAAGACCTAGTGATTTTGTTCCTAGTCTTCATGTTGTCTATTCCAGTCCTGCTATAATCCTCCCTATTCAGTTTCTGTTCTTCTAACCTAGGTTATTGTAGTATCTCTTATTTTTCCTCTAGTAGCTTCTTGCATCCAGCAGCACTCAACTGCTGGTGGATGCATCATTCTCAAGTACAGGTCTGTCATATCTTGTTTTTGCTTATAATCTTCTAACATTCTGAAGTCTCAATCTCCTTGTCACGAGACCCCAGATTCTCAGCTTCAATATAATGTATCTCAGTTGTTAATACTATTGCTGTAAGACCACAGTACTTTGTAGCACTTGTTACAATTACAGTTAAGTGCTTAACTTCATGAAGACAGGGTCCATGTATGTGTTGTTGCCATGATGCCAGTGCTTCACGCAGTACCTGGCATTTATTTATTCACCAAATAGTGATTGAAAACTTGCTTATTACATCAATCAGGGTCTAGTTGGGACAACAGAAGTCACACTAGATAGTTCAGCAGAGATAACTGAAGAAATCAGAGAGTTTGAAGAATTTGAAAAAGCAAAAGTGGAGCACAGATGCAATTGCAGAAAGTAGCTGCTTCTCCTAGGACCGGGGTTACACAGGGCGGAGGGTGGAGTTATCAGAGCCAAGCGGCTTAGTGGAAGAGCCCCGTGAGCTGGGCCTCTGACTCGGGACCTCCGGTACCTCTGAGGGGTTGCAGTGAGGCTGGTTCTGGGAGTAAAGTCCGGAGTATGGAATCAGGTGCTGGCAGCAGGGTTAAGGGCTGGGCCCTGGCAGTGCAGACGGGAACCGGAAGCGGACAGGAAGGAGCGAGCACTGGTCCCTCCTCCACACCTCAGTCTCCCTCTGGTGCCTCCTGTGGCGGATGCTTGCTAAGCAGCCCGCGGACCGAGGAGAGTGAGTGTAACTCGCGTAGTCTGAGCCCCAGCACCCCAGGCAGAGTCTGGGAGGGTGAGTCTGACAGAAGGTAGCTCAGCACCTGGCGCTGCCACTCCTTGGACTGCTCGGTCTGTCCACATGCTTCCTTACAGTTCACAGCTTCCTCTTTAACAACTTCATGGTTTCCCCTTAAAAGATGCGACTCTTTGGTTGAGGAAAGGGTCCACTTAAAACAATAAGCCAGTTTGGGTCAAGAAAACTGACAAGAGGAGCTTGAAACACAGTGCCTGGCAGAGTCCCTGGTAGAGCTGTCCTGGGGCAGCTGGTCTGTCTGTGCAGTGGGCTGATCCGTAGGTATGTGTCAGAGTGGATGCGAAGTGATGCCGACTGTCCCGTGTGAGCCGGCACTCCCACAGCATGCACACGCCGTCCACACAGCGGCTGGGAGGTCAGAAGGTGGCCCCTTTTATAGAAACTCTGAAGGGTGAGTAGGTTGTTAAAGATCAGGGCCTAAGAAAGAACGCTCTGGAAGATGATGCGTGAGCTTCAGAAGTACGATGTGGCCTTTATAACGTCCACGGTAGTCTGTTTGAGTTGAAGACAAGCCAAAGTACACATGGAACAAATGTCTGAATTCATAGGGTGACAGAGAGTCACTGAGTCCTGAAGAGGATACGTCGGGAATAGGTTAGTTGAAGAATCGGTGTAAACAAACAGGGTCATTTCTGCAAAAATCAAACTTTCTCTGAAGGAAATAATTTGCAGATTACTTTTTGGGAAACCACAGCTGAATATATTCGAATAAATGAATGTTTCTAAATATTGACACATTGTGTATGTTTCTCACAGCAGTTGGTAGCAAGACCTTCCAGTATGAACTATATGGTGGCTCCTATAACTGGTAATGATGCTGGAATCCGTAGAGCAGAAATTAAGCAAGGGATTCGTGAAGTCATTTTGTGTAAGGATCAAGATGGAAAAATTGGGCTCAGGCTTAAATCAATAGATAACGTAAGTATTTTTAATATTTATTTGAATTTGTCTAAATAGCTTACAGGATCTTGAGTGATAAATGTTGGAATCATTTAAAATGTAAATGCTTTAATTAATTATAATGGTACATCCATAATCAAGACTATTTTAAGTCTGCTAACTTAAATTTTTCCACTTGGAGATGCCCTATTCTAAAGAGGCAGAGTTGGGACTCCAGCATTGCCTTCAATGGATTTTTTTTTCTATTTTTTGAACTCTTTTCCTGGAATAAAGCTCACTGGTCTGCATGTATCATAATACAGTTTATACCAGTAGAATTCTGGCACTGAAATAGGGCAACACATGTGGACGTTAAGACTGGCCAGTGAGGTTCGGTGGTCTTGTGTGTTTTTAAATTAAACGAAGCCCTTCTGCTAGTGATACGGCTTTGCAGGTTTATCATCTCCGTCCTTCAGGCTGAGTTTATAATAGGGCATTTTCTAGGCGACAGTGACTTTCCAAGTAGGGCGGCCGTTACTTTACAGTTAGTTTACTTCTCTCCTTAACCAGACTGAAGAAATTAAACTGGGACTCCCTGAGGGCACCTTTAGGATCGTTCAGGACGTGCTGAGTCTTTACCCCGGTCTGTGGTTTTACATGTTCCTTTACAGGATTCCTTTTCAGTCTTTAGGTCTTGTTGGCTCAGTGTGTCCAGCCTTTGCACGTAGAAAATGATGACGTGGAAAATGGCGGAGGCTGATCCTGGCAGGAAGCCCCAGCGCCCCCTGCCTCCCCAGAGGGCTGAGGGTGTGTTGTCTTTGCACACTCATGGCTCGTGCAAGACACATCAGGGTGCTGCTCTGGGAAGCTCTGACTTCACTGCTCTCCCTTCCTCTTCAGTGCCTGGAGTGTATGCCGCTCCTCTGCCGGTGTCTTTGCTGCTTCAGCTCTCTCCCAAGGAGAGAGACAAGGCACTCTTCACAGCCCTGTCCCCCGGAGCAGCTGCGCTCGCAGTGGGTCTGTCCACGTGGCCAAAGCTCATGGGTCCCACCACTTTGCAGGGTGCCACCCAGTTTCCAGGTACCGCCCTGGAGCACAGGCCATGACAGCGTGTCACCCAGCTTACGGCGGTGGGAGGGTCCAGCCTTGTAGATGCGGTCACGCTGTGCCAGGCTCAGTCTTCCTTCATGCTTGTGCAGCTGTGTCCTGTTCAGTCCGAGGTGAGAGTTTATGTGAGAATATCCACGTGGGGCTAGTTCTTAGCTAATTGTCCCTGAGTTTTTTGTATTTCCTTCATAGCAGATTGTTAGGAACTGGAGTGGTGTTGAATGGGCCTACCTTTATAGGCTGTTAAACCTAATCTTACTGATTGTGCATAATTTAGCAAGTGGGTGAAGGAAGTCTTCATTTCAAAAGGTAGAGTTATGACCTTAACCTATAATTTTTTTGAACAGTAAAATGAAATTTCTAACTTTCCTCCTGAATAATGATTATGTGCTAATACCTGTTTGGTTTCTGTCAGACTCATAGCAGCTTTTATTATACATTTATTATAGTAGTCCTGCTTTCTTTCTGTAATAGTCTCTTTATTCCAAGATGGGGAGGGGATGGTTGAGGTTGGTCAGGTGGTTCATGATTTGAGGTAGAAAATAACCACAGAGCTCTTTTTTACCTATTTCTTAGGGTATTGCATTGATAAAATTTTTAATTTCTTTCTTGGGAGCAATGACACACACATTCACTTAATTTTTCTTTTTTTCTTTTTAATTACTAGGGTACCTTCCTAACCTGAAGAGTTGGTTCCTAATTTTCCAGCATTTTAAAACGTGTAACAGTGGTGACTGGTTATTGTCTTGTTCTCTAGGGGGTATTTGTTCAGCTGGTCCAGGCCAATTCTCCAGCCTCGCTGGTTGGTCTGAGATTTGGGGACCAGGTGCTCCAGATCAACGGGGAGAACTGTGCAGGCTGGAGCTCCGACAGGGCACACAAGGTGCTCCGACAGGCCTTCGGAGAGAAGGTGACCATGACCATTCGTGACAGGTGAGCCGACGAAACAGTTCAAAGGGAAATTCAAGACTCATTTTCCATTTTCTTGGGCTCTTAAGAGGCTATGAATAAAGTGTTTTGTTGCAGAAAATGATCAGATGTTACTGGTTAGCCATTTATAGTCTTGCAGTTGTGTGGTATAGATTCTTCTTACATAACTTGACTTCTTTTAGAAACAGCATTCTGGTTTTGCATACACTTTATTTCAGAGCTTACAGAAACTCGTCCTCTAAGAAGTTACTTTCCTGTCTTAAATCCATTTCTCTAGAAAAGAGAGAAAAACATTGGACAACTAACCAAGCAGCAGGGCGTCTCGGGCCGCACTGTCCAGTTTCCTGCTCAGGGTGGAGGCGCGGTGCCTGGGCCCCTGCAGAACTCCCACGGGGCCTCCGGGTTCAGAAAACCCAGCCTGGCCTTCGGGTGGTGCGGCTCTGGTGGTCCGGGTGGGAGGACGGAACGTTTTCTTCAGCCTGTGGCTCGTTTGTTACTGAGACTTCCAGCACGTGTAGTACCAGCCCGCGCCTTCCTGGCCCCACAGGTGCTGAGGGTGGACCTCATCGCATTGTTAGCTTTGGGGGTTTTATTTGTCTCAGTTAAGCTTGTTCTACTTCTGTGTTTCTGCTCCTCTCACGTGGTGGGTATTTAGTAAACATTTTATCGACGAATGCCATTTTTGCTTTGTATCTAAGGAAAATTTCAAATAACCTGTACCAGCAGGAAGATAGACTGTTCTGAATTTTATCACGTGACACTCATTTTGTTGTAAAGTCCGTGCGGTAACACGGCCGCGGAGTTGTGGGGAGTCAGCAGGTGTGGCCGGCGGGACGGCCATCCTTGTAACGTGCCTTCCTCCTGAAGGGGCTGAGGACTTCCATCTCCCTGGGTCTGTGGTTCTAAAATACAGCAAAAGTGCCCTCTATAAAGTTTTCAAACTTAACCTTTATAGAATTTTTCACATCTTTAAAATATTTCCTAGGAATAGTTTAAGCTCAGGAAATACTAAAAAGTTAATAAAAGATAAAAATTCATTTTAATATTGATTTTTGTTCAAACTCATCTCATTCTTGACGATAAATAACAGCGAATACCGTAAAGGAAAAGCATGAAGCAGTGTCTTAAGTCTTTGATACTTAAAAGAAGAAAATCTTAGGCAAACGATGGAGAGGATTTTTTAAAAGTCTTTTATGTTAAGATGTTCTATGAATGTATAAAATCAGAGCTAAGTTGTACTAATACCTACTGAGTTGCTCTTATTCAAAACGTAATGTAACAAAGTATCCAGTACTGCAGGTTGGAAATCCATTAAAATGTCTGCCTTGGAACTGAGTCTTTCCTTGACCCCACTACGTTCGCAGGCCCTTTGAACGGACAGTCACCATGCATAAGGACAGCACTGGGCATGTTGGCTTTATCTTCAAAAACGGGAAGATAACGTCTATCGTGAAAGACAGTTCTGCAGCCAGAAACGGGCTTCTCACGGAGCACAACGTCTGCGAGGTCAACGGGCAGAACGTCATCGGGCTGAAGGTGGGGAGCGGAGCGCGGCCTGGCCTGCTGTGGCTGCAGCTCGTTTCCATCGTTCTGTTCTGAAGGTTCTGAAGGTTCTGAAGGAGCTGTTGGGCCGCCAAACTGTGGTCTCTCGTTATAACGAGGGGGCTGCGTCTGTGCAGCCCCTCCAACGAGTTCTGCAGAGGCCTGAGCACTGAGGGTGCTGGCGACATTCTGAATGAGTGATTGCTTTTTTCAGTCTAGGAGTTGTAGGAAATGAGTAATAGTTCATGCTCATATTAGTGTTTCATTTTCAGTTTGTTCCCTCCACAAATACCTAAATAGGGCTACTTTGAGGTCTAAAGGTCTTCGTAAAGACCTGCTCATCTCATAAGCTTTGGTTAAGAACACGCAGTTAGCCGAGGGGCTGTGGCAGCACTGTACGTGGGGAAATGTTTAATCTTCGGTAACGACAAGGCCGCCTGCACACAGATACACTCAGCTCAGCTTCCTTAGCAGTTTTGTTACCACCGATCAAATTGTGATTTTGTTGAATTAAAACCTGGAAAGGAAAACTAGAACTTACCGAGTTCCGAAGGTCAGTATTTTGGAAGAGGACATACGTGGTCTTTACCAAGAGTAACTTAATTTTATATTTAATAAAGCCTCAGTGGAGTTCATTTTCATGATGTTTTCAACAGGACTCTCAAATTGCAGACATACTGTCGACAGCTGGGAATGTAGTTACCATTACCATCATGCCTGCTTTTATCTTTGAACATATTATTAAACGGTAAGTAGGCGGTGCTTCATCTTGATGCTGCGTTCAGGCAACTTCACGTAAGCACTGCGCTTTGTTTTTTTTGTCTAACGGATGACACTGGCATTATGTAGCAATTTGAAGAGAATTATTTAAATCAGAGTCAGTTGGTGAGGATGACCCCTCACAACCCCTCAGGTCTGCAGTAAAATCCACCAGTAGGAAGAGGGTCCACGAGGAGAGGGGGCAGGCGCTCGTCCCAGTTTTCAGTGACGTGCGGTGCTCTGCCCGCAGCTCGTCTGCGCATGAGGGAGAATGCTTGCACGTGGGGTGTCTGGGGAGCGGTTTCGGGTCTCGAGCATCTCGGGGGCAGGAGCTGGGGGTGGGCTGTGCGTCCCCGGGACCTGGGGCCTGGGAAGCCCGGGAGGGAGATGAGGACAGGGGCAGTCCGGGCCCCTACTCTAAGCCTTGACATTCTGTTTTGGTGGAGTTCAGAATCTGCTTTGCTTGTGGAAGTAGAACTTAAAGGATTAAAAACCACCACCTGTAATATAATTTTTGTTTCAGCTTCTGGGTGAAATCAGCTGGCTGCTTTTCCAGGGTGGGTGGTGGGAGGGGGGAGTTGTCAGAACTAACCATGCAAGAGCTCACTTTTCTTAAACCAGTGATGAGGCCTCCCCACCCCCCACACTTCCCTCCAATTAATAACAGCGTTGTCATTTTGTTTTAAATTGGCCATCATATAAGGGTACAAGGACTCACCTGTAGCTTGTCTTGACTTTACCAGCCAGGATTCAGATAGTCTGTCACACTGGGTATTTGCAAACAGCTAGCTTACCCGAGACCCTCAGATCTAAACTCCTCAAAGAAAAACCTTCCCCCAGCCTCCCACTCAAAGCTGGCAGGTGCTGAGTTTGAGCTGGAGTGTTCCTGGCTCAGTGCAGCACTTAGTAACAGACTCTCTTGCAGGATGGCCCCGAGCATCATGAAGAGCCTGATGGACCACACCATCCCTGAGGTGTAAGGGTCACGGCACAGCGGCACTCACGCAACGTCTCCAGTTCACTTCCTCGGCAACTTAACTTCACATTATGCACACGAAGCTTTCTAGGAGCCAGAGAGCACATGCTGCATGAGGACCTCCTGTCTTACAGTAGGGCTGGGAATCTTGCAGCTTGATCCGGTATCTTGTTCAGACTCAAGATAGTTGTAGCCTTATCCTGGTTTTAGCGATGTGAAAACTTTGAAGATTTGCTGGCTTTTGTAGACTAGTGTCTTTCCTGGAAGCCTGGGCTGAGGATGACCGATGCAGGCCCAGCTCTGTGTGAGAACCAATCACCTTTACCTTAGGAGCGAGTAGCGCTGTTCACGTGACTTCAGTTCTGTGAACACCTGCATCTTCACTGCGTTACCATAGCACATTTAGAGTGATTACCTTTCTTTGTAAGTTCTGTGTGTAAAACACCAATTAAGAATCACTTGTTTCATTCCAGGTCAGCATTACACAGTGTTCGTAAGCTTGCAAGAGAGAGTGTTGATTATTAAATTTTAACTACCTTCACTTAATATGCTTGAACTGTCGCCTTAACTACGTTAAACATTTAGAATAAAAGCCAAAATGTAACTATTGCTGCCTTTCTGAAGGCCACGTGCAGCTCTGCGTTCCGCTGAGATGCACACGTGCCCCGTGCAGCGCACCGGGGACTTTCTAGCCGTTGTGTAATGCACTTCTTCCTTCTAAGAGTTACTGCTATCACTTTCTGAGAAACGAATCACGAATCACCATGTATTTAATGTAAAAAGTCTTGTACTAAATGGACAAACTTTGATTCCCTTTTTTCGTTAGTAGATTAAGTGGGATAGTGCCTGGTTGTTGCAGTTCCACGTAACCTGTGACCGAGCTGCTTTGTGCTGGTCTTAAGAGTGTTTTCCTGGTAATTTGTTCCATTTCCTGACCCCTCCCTGCAAACAGAATGACAGTGACACTGTATCCTGATTTTTCCCCTTCTTTTTGGTTTATGCCTATTCTATTTTAATTAAAAATGTATAAATAAAGTTCAGTTTTAGTCTATTATTGCATCTTTGGGAGCATTAGGCCTGGGGTAGCCACCCGCCTGGAGCCTGAGGAAAGCCCCCTGTGTTGACAGGTCTGCATGTCGGGAGGGGGCGTCTCCAGCTGTGAGGCCAGACGGCCAGGCCGAACGCTGGGCCTTCCGACTCCCCCTGACGACAGCCAGGCCCGCTAACGTTTAACGTCTAAGATGCACCAGTGTCTCTGCAGAGCACAGAAAATTTTAAAGCACAGTTTCTGTGGTTCAGAGGCTGACTATAAAAGAGCCTCAGTGCTGCTGCTTCACAGCTCACCTTACCGGGAATACGGAAAAGCCAGTCAAGCAGGGCTTCAGTTTACCTCCCTTGTCCCGGGACTTGGGTCTGAAGGCAGTTCCGAAAGTGTAAGAATGGCATTTCACAACATGACGTGTGGCTTTCTAGAAGGACCAATCCTTGAAGTACCTAGTACTTTGTAATAAATCATTTAAATAAGAAAAGGAACTTTCATTACAGAAAAATACTTTTAATGTCATAGAAAAGATGAGGATTTCACAGCTACCGTGGAGCAAACTGTCCTGTGCACAGAAGGCTGTTGTAAGACCTGCTAACCCTTCCCCACACTCTCAGACTCTGGGGGCAGTAGGTTATAGAAAGTAACCACTCCATGAAAACACCTCCCCCAGAGCCCGCTGGGCAGTGGCCGTGTGGACTAGGGAGACATGAGTGAGTGGGCAGAGCACTCACATCTCCTTGGAAAATCCTTACATTGCTCAGTGCCTCCTGGAAACTGCCCCGGCTGGGTTAACACCACTGAGCTGTTCCCTCTGCCCCCAAATCCATCTTCTGACCATCATCGCCTGCCTTACAAACGCACGTTTACCGCGAATGCTGCCGCGTCCTCTGCCTGAGGATGGCAACTGATGGCTTTCAGTGAAGTCACCACAATTTAGAAAGTTTAAAACCACAAACATCTCTTGTGGTAAAACTTCTAATTACTATAATTGCACATTCACCAGTTCATTTAAAAGTTTGGTTTAAAAATACATTAAATCGAGTTCAATAATACTTGAGGAAAAGGCACTTAATACTGCAGGTTCCAGAACGTGATCTGTCTGTCCTCCCCGCCCGTGATGACGCTGCTGCACTGCTCGTTCATCCACATGCACGTCACGGCTCCTGCGGGAGAGGCGTGGGGTCAGGGCGCGGCGGGGACCTGCCGGCGGACCAGCACGGCCTCCGCACAAGTTAAACACAGCGCTCAGAACAGGGAACCTGGGAGGAGTAAGGAACCAGGTAAACGCAAAGCTAACGCTAAAACAAGCGGCAATTGCGGATGCGGAAGAGAATGCCAAGGTCATACACTGACAACCAGGGTCAGGAAGCGGCAGGGTGGGGAGGGAACTGGTGTGAGTTTGCTGATTTACTTCCACTTCTGTCGCAAGGAGTCAAGGGGTTACTGAACGCTAGCGAGCTGAGGAAGAAAGGCAGACTCGCCACTAACACCCACCCACAACAGTGACCTGGGGAAGCAAAGGCGGCAAGTCAACAGATGCTCGTAACCGTGGGTCCTGGAAGAATTAAAGCCGCCGAACGATCAGGAGGAAGACATGCCCGTGTCAGCAACACTGAAAACCAGTGGGCAAAACAACTGCACACAACTGCACACCCTCCGCTCAGTAACAGGAGGCACACCTGGCATCAGCTGGCGCAGGCCCTCCAGGGAGAAGCCTGCGAGGTAGTCAGAGGAAGACTTCGTTTTCACTGTTAATTCATGACTTTTTAACTCTGCAGGTACTAAATAAACCATTACAGCTTTTACTACAGTTTCTAATTCTCCACGTGGAAGTTAATGTAGAAACGCCCATTTTGGAGTCACATGTCAGCATAGATCTAAATCCTGAAGGACCCAAAAGGCGCAGGTCACCTGGGCAGCCAGGGTGCCGGAGGGGCACGTCCATGGCGCAGAGGGCACGGGGGCCGGGGGGGGGTACGTCCCTGTTTGACGCGCATGCTCGCTGATGGGGACAGCGGGTTTGAGCGGAGTGCTCCGGGAGGAGGGGCAGGCCGGCGGCTGGCTGCTCACCTGCGTGGCCCCGAATTCTCTCAGTGCTCCTTCCCCCGAGGAGGTCCCAGACGAGCAGCTCGCCAGACTGACTTCCGGATAAAACAGAATTCCCATCCCAGATAAAGCACCTGCGAGAAGGATTTAGAAATCACCATGTCATCACTCATCGTGAAGGAGAGGCCCACGCAAGCCCAGTGGCATGACCGTGAACCTGTTTGTAAATGGCTTCGCGCTAGGAACTCAAGAAGGGGTACCTCTGCGGCTCGTCCGAAGTCATGGACGAGATGAGCATGCCCGTCTGCACGTCGATGACGTTCAGACAGCCGTCTTCTCCTGTGCTGAGGACGTGGCGACTGTCTGGAGCGTGAGGCGAAACACGGATACAGGTTACAGCTTCTGAAGCGCGTTGTAGATTAACCTGAGGTTTTATTTCTGAATCCCGTGGCTGGATGCTCACTCAAGCTCCCTGTGCTTAACCAACAATGATTATCCTCTGCTGGAAATGCTTCTGAGATGCTGGGCTGATGACCCTTTGGTGTGAATTCATTTACACCTTATACATTAATTTCTCTAGTGAGGTGAGAAATTAAGAGCAGTACTTAACACAGCTTTTCTAATGGGTAGAGATGTCACAAGGAGACTGAATTCTACTACGGAGCAGCCTTACTTACAGGCAAGACCTCTCAACAGCAAACAGTCTTTTTACACACTCATCATTTCAACAGTCATTCCAATGCCCCGGTACCATCTGTATTAAAGAGAGAGAATTCTACCTGGGCTAAAAGCAGTGTCACATACGGTCCCTGAGTGACACGGAATCTGGTGCAGTATGGTGGCCGTGGCGAGGTCCCAGATAGTCACTGTGCCTTCTCTGGTGCCTGAAACCAGCAGCGTGCCTGCAGCGTTTAAACTGATTGTGTCCACCTGCAGAAGCACACACACGGTACCCCGTGCAGAGTCACGGTCGTGAGCGCTGCCCGGGCCCATCCACAAATGTGGACGTCAGCGAGACATCAGCGTCAACACCACCTACTATGTGCGAATTCATTTCGGGGAGGGGATCTTCATCTGCCGGTGGCTACAAGGATGTGTTGCCGGGGTAAATGTAATGCTCTCGTCGAAAGAGGCTAAAAGGGACAGTTTCAGAGGGACACCCCATGAGGAATGAACGGCCGCGGGGTCCCTCGGTGCCAGCAGCACGGCTGACCCATGACTGAGGGGATTGGGGGAGGTGGAGGGCGTCTCCGGGTTACACCTGCCTACCCATCTTGAATTACACACTAAATGAAGATTTCTCAACCTCAGTCAATCTGACCCCGCAAACCGGGCATCGGTTCGCAGCCTCCGAGGACAGGCTGTCCTGCAGGCCACGGCGCAAGGTCACAGCCCTGCGGGAATACAATGAGCCAAAAGGACCCAGTCCCAGGCCTGGCTCTGCCCCAGGCTGTGTGCACTGGGCTGTGCAGACAGGTCCGTGTCCTCAGACACCGGACGGGTGTCACCCAGACAGACGGCCCCCTCCGCCCTCAGGGTCAGAAGACACAAAAGATGATGGGTCACATCTTGTCACCCAAATAGTCTGGGGATCCTCAAATATTCACAATCTACTCAGAAACTGGACTTCTGGAAATCCAGTTGGATAGTAGCTAATTCTCAGAGAAACAGCAAACCGAGAAACAAGACAAAGGAGACTTGGAAGCCCGAGAGTCAACTGCAGGCAAAGAACCGAGTGAGCCTGTGCTCTCCTCCAATGAGCAACGCAAAGCCCTAGAGAAGCCAAGACACCCCCGCTGGCGCGGCCCTGCCGCCGGTACTCACGCCCACGTCGTGCTCCAGCTCGGCCAGCAGGTCAAACTGGTGTCTCCTGGCTGCGCTCATCTCGGGAGGGACCCCGGACCACACCTGGGATGGAAGACATAGCAGAAGGTCTCTGCCAACGTTTACTACAAAAGCATGTCTAACGCTCAGGGAAAACCCTCCTGACCGACGTCCCTTTAACACAGTTAAACGTGACCAGCACGACGAGGCCTCGGGAGGCCTCGCTGCTCCCCGCTGCCTGAGCTTCCCCAGCGTCGCCGGCGCCGGCGCCCTCCCTCGCACCTGCCCTCATGACCCAAGTGTTGTGTGAACTAAAGAAACAGGTGTGCAGAGTGCTGCAGTGTCTGTTAAGGTTTTGCGAAAACTCAAGAAGGCAAGTCACCCAAAAAACGTACTGAAATTCAGGGCGGGGGGGCGAGGAGGAGCAGAAATGATGCAAAACTCCTGAAGGAATTCTGATGGTTTTAGGTTCTTGCTTTCGTTTATATAAATGCAAACTGGACACCAAAGACGATGAACAGTGCCGTGGTTTATGCAGTAAAGTTGTACAGAAATGCAAAGAAAAGGCCAATACGGGCCAACATCGATGGTGAGAGTATGCGTTTGTCTGGTCTAAGCTTAAATAAAAAGCATCCTCTGTTAAAGGCCCCCCACGGTAGCCTGGTCTTTTCCGATGGCCTGGCTGGCTGCTCGTTCCGCAGCCGAGCTAGAGCGGAGGGGTCCTGCTGCGCGCGCCCTCTAACCCCGCCGTCTGATGAGTACGCACCACCCCGCCCCCAGGGAACACACAGTACGCAATTGTGAAAACCTCCTGTTATGTTAAAAAGGGCACACGTTAAACAAACAATAATCTTCACTATCCTCACAGATCCCTCACTTTGTGAAAAACCGGGGAAAAGTGACTGAACACATTAACAACAGGCGGCTGACTGGCTTCTCAGGCTGGCCTCTTCCACACATTTCAATTCAGAAACTCCCTACAAACCTTCACAGTCGAGTCCCAGGATGCAGAATACAGCCTGCTGTCGAGCCAACAGATTTTACTAACAGCATCGTCATGCCCCATCAGCGTGTCCTGGCGTCTCCCAAACGCCACGGAATAAAAGTAGCTGACAAGAAAGATGAGAACTGTTGAAACAGCGCTCCTGCTGACGTTGTGGCTCTTAAACACATTTTCCAATTAGTATTGTTTAAATCTACGGGTACTAAGGCCCGCTGAAATGACAAATTACTTGTTCTCGTGACAGTAAACCAAAGTGGGAATTTAAAAGTAGGAATTTCCAGGTCTGGCTCATCTGTGTTTTCACCTGAGTTTAAAAACTCAAGAGGAAGATAGAGTCCAACGGGAGAAGTGATTAGATTCAAATCATCACGCTGAAATCCACTGTCCTCACCGAGCATCTAAACAACGGGAGACCCTGTGCTTGCCCGCCTCGCGTCCACAAAGGGAGCGACATGGCGTGTGGTGTTACAGGGGGCATGCGGACACCTACACGTTATTGTCCCACGAAGAGCTTATGACAGTGGCATCTCCCGGTAAAAGTAAACACGACGACAAAGCCTGAAATGCAAGTAATTCGACGTTAATGATTTACAAAAAGCAGTGGATCCTTAATGTGGTAAAATGATCTCATAAGTTCCTCCCCCAAATTAGTGCTCAAACTCTCTTTGTGTTGGCCTTCCTCATATTTGCAAAGTTTCTTTTCAACTGGCTGATTCCAGTCGCCGAGCTTCCTCCAAAATGTAGGAAAGGAAGTCAAAGTGTGTCAAGTGTACGAAGACCCACCCTGACGGTTCTCGGGGCTCCGGGCGCCCTTGCTGCCCTGGGCCAGGGGCCTCCGACCACGTCGGAGTGAATCGTGGGGATGCAGGCCAGGATCCAAACACCCACTCTGGGGCACGGACTCGGGGGGAAAGGGAACCTTCTGGAAGTCTTTAGGGAACTGCAGTAGCTTTCAGATGACCGACATTAACAACAAAATGTGTTTTTTCATAAGAACTGGTTTTCTAGTCGTAGGTATCCTGCCAACTCAGAAATGCATTAAATTCTGTAACACACAAGCATTTAGTCTGACAGTTCCCAGAAAAGGGAAGATTAAGGAGAATTCTACTGGGTAGCACTTTAAATTTTTTAAAAAAGTGACAAATGAAATCACAATATTATGAGAACGAGGACGCCTGGAAAAACCTCTAATTTAACTTAGGAGTCATCGAGCTGAGGCGTTCCATAGCTACTGCACGGGAACAAACCCGACTGCCTGGGAGGAAACAAAATGTCATACACGTGTGTGTATAAAACAAGCCGCTCCATGAATTTCTATCGTAACACAGATGCAAAGTTAAAATGACCTCAACTCACCATATTTGAAAATGATATACTTCTTTGTAGCATCTTGGATTCTTTGGAAAACATCTTCAGGGTGGAGTCTGATTTAATAATGACAAAGTGAACATGTAAGAAAGATTTCCTGACCTTTACAGATACTGACCAGCAAGTGCATGCGAGGCACTGGGGGAGGTGGGGGGGATGGTGGGCGAGACGCCGAGGGCCGCGCCCCAGGACACCCCAGTCGTCTCTGAAGATATGTGACCTACGACACGCAGATTAGCCTAAAGCCACGGCCGAATGCAGAGTCAAGTCTAGTAACTTATAAATAAGCTAAAGAGCAGGAAAATAGCAATTTTAACATTAAAGAAAACAAAAAATATTTTTAAATGTTTTAAAAATATCTTTTAAAATATTTAATTTTTTTTAAAAGCCCAATTATGGTGTGATATCCATGTACTGAATTAGCATCTGTGGACAGGAACCGCTAACTTCCTAAATACAAACTAGGGATTGAAATGTCCAAGCATTTAACTTCCTTGCTAACAGAAGCTTTAAAAAGGTGCATCCAGACAAGCTCCACACCAAGACCCGCAAACCACAATGTGCTCCCAACACCCCGCGTCCGAAATACATAGCAACACGTTTCCTCATCTGGAAACACACAACGTGACACAGAACAGGTCAGCATGAGCTTTAAGTAATTTCTACTTTCCTCTCTGTAGTAAAACTGAGTATTTCAACCTAAGTTCTGCGACAGCAACACACAGAAGTGAGCCAGGACACGCTGTAGGAAACCATCCCCCAGCCTGGCCGGCGGCTCTCCCAGGCGCCGGGGCCCGCGGTGGCCCAAGTGTCTACACACCGGATGCGTGTCCAGCAGCAACACGAGTATAAATGTCAGTGCAAATAAACCGGTCACGTGGATTAGTAAGAGTGAAGGAAAAACCAGAAAAAACAAAAGCTTTTGACCAAGACACCCCCACTCCCTGGTCGTTGGCCAGTTCACAACAAAGCAGTATGCTAAACAGGCCTCAGACGTTTAAAGCCTGGGTGCTTGTAAAACTCACGGTTTACAAGGTCACGTGAGTACAGGGAGCTGAAGGACTTAACGAGCCAGGACAGACAAATCCAGCCAAGAATGCAGGCTTCGCTCAAAGATAAAGCGTTTCGTCTTGGGCTAAAACATTGGCAAGCTCAGCGGGGAGGACTCCCGGCAAAGCACCACGGCCTCCTCCCGCCAGAGCGCCATCGTCCAGGTGACCCCTGCGCCCTGGGCAGGGCGCGGGCCTCCTCTGGTCTCCGGCAGAGTCTTCCGTGCCTCGTGGAGAGTTCTGTGTTACAAAACCTGAGATCGTATTTGAACGAGGTAGGAAGGACACGCCATGGAGGCGGAACCACGGGCAGAGTCTGGGAGCGGCAATTCTGATTCGCCCAGAAGTGGGTGCTGGGACAGCGCCTTCTCTCACTCGGTGGACGAAAAACACACTTTCCTGCAACGAAGACTGAAGAACAGGCAGCCAGCTACTCACAGCCAGCTACCAGCTCAGCCAGAAGCAGCCGTCTTAGAACCCCTCCCTCCTCACCTTCACTCTGCAGAGGGCGTGTCACCAAGCTTAGGGCAGGATGGGGACAAGATGTGCTTTAATGACATACTGTGCACCCTGCCCGGAAGAGCATGGCTGTAGACAGCAGGAGGTGCTTAATGCTTAGTCCCTTTGTGAGATCAAAACAGTGAAATTCTAACGTGCCATTAAGATGCAGTTACGCGTCCTCTTCCTTGGGCCACGGCAGGGCTTTTGCACAATTCTAACAACACCTAAGCCCATTAACAATGCGTGACTTAGACTTCGAGCTGAGTCCTGCAGTCAACACACTGGACTATACGCTGAGTGACAAAAACAAAAGCCACAGCAACACATCTGGCTCCCCACCTGTGACGCCTGGGGTGGGACCCGGGGGGCGGAACCTGTTGCCTGTCCCTTTGATTCTGGGAAACCTTGCCAGCCACAGAAAGGCGTTTTCCCAGTATTGTTGTGGGCAAATCACCATGGAATTGTATGGCATCAACCACCAATTAACTGCTCGTAATTTATTCCCTGTGGAAGCAGCAGAAACAGGGACAGTCCGGACGGAGCGAAGAAGCCCGTCTTCAGGCAGAAGGACATACCTTGTGAGGTTGTGAAGATGGACGAGCCGTTGCAGGAGACTGCGATTCCGGTAACTGCCCTGTTTGAAGACAAAGTTTTATAAATTACCATCAACCGTGTGCCAGGACAGCCGTCTCTCCAGGGCCTCGATCTGAGTGGGTTCAGTCCGAGCTGCTGTCCCCTTTCCTTCGCGGTGTGAATGCTGGATGTGGCCCATCTGAGACCAGCTGCGGCCAAGTCACAGGCGGCAGCCCCTCATCCTGTTCTGGTGACACCTGGGGCTGGGACCTCCCTCCCCAGGCCACTGCCGGGGACGTGCAAGGTCGGACACACACACGTGACACCGGGGAACCAGCTGCCAGCACCCAAGTTATTGGAACGCCTCACTCGCTTCTGCCCAGTGACGAGGCCACTGTGCGGCCCGCACGTCCTCTTAAAGGTTCATTCGTGTCCTCACGGCCTCGAAGCACGAGGCCCCTTCCTACGTGACGTATAGAGAAGTCGAGGAAAGGAAAGCGTCAACAAATTCCAACCAGCCAGGTGAGGCTATGAGTCCCCTTCCCGAAGCTGTGCTCTGGTCTGGCGCCAGTGCTCCGATGAGGCCAGGCCGTTCAGTCCCACTCATGACCGATGGTGAACCTGACAATGGAACGTCAGACTGGACATGGAGCAGGACAATGGTCTCGTCCCTGGGCCCGGGCTTCCCACCTGGGACAGGCCGGGTCAGGCCAGGTCAGCGCTTCTCAGGCCCCTCCACGGGCACCCATCCCTCTACCTGCACAGGGGAGACCCACTGAGGCCGACAGCAAGCCTGAGGTTTTGGAAGTAAAGTGGGTTTTTTTGTAAATTCTTGTGAGATTTGCAATGTTGTGTGTGTGTGTGCATGCACGCACATTAGTTATCATTTTTTTAAAAAGCTGCATTTTCCCCAACAATATTAGTACATGCGACATGGTGGCAAGGGATAGCGATTCTCCCAAAGCTTCACACCCTCACGGACCCAGGGGGCCGTGCGCCCACCGGAGAGGCACCCAGCCACCTGCTGTCTGCAGACCCCGTCTCGTGCTCCAGAATGACCGAGGGCACAAATGACACACATCTGTTTTGTGCCAAACCTTCCCGGTCACTCTGACCTCAGATGGCTGGTCACTGTGGACTTCTGAGGGGCACAGACAGCAGTCAGCAGGGCTCTGAGAGAGCTCTCGCCCTGGACTCAGTGGCGCGCACGTGCTCACTCACTCTTTGTGGATCCTGTGCTGCTCGTACAGCTGCAGTTTGGTGATATTGCTCCAGGCCAGCGTTCTGCTCTCCTCCGTCAGGTCTTCAAAAGACTCTTCACCTGGAGAGACTACATCCAGCGGCAGCCGAGTCAGCCGCCGCCTCTCTAACCGCACCAGAGACCGTGAGCCTCAGGCCACGGTATTTTCTGTTAGAATCAGACAACCAGCAAAGCGCAACGCCCCCAAACAGAACTGCTCTCAAGGGCGCTGTTCAATGGCTCCACGTTTGTCGAGGGAAAAGAAGGTATGTGATCTTAATAAAAATCATTCGCGGAAAGACTAAGTAAAGTGTCTCTGATCACTACAGTGCTTTTGTACCTTTACCGAGGTTTGCAGCTTTCACCAGGACCCCGAGTTAGGAGCCTCAGGACACACGAGACCGATGATAATCTTTGTAAAACCTGACAGCTCCCTAAGAACACTGCAGGCTGGTGTTGGGTTTAGTTTTGAGAGGGAAAAAGAAGAGATGCAGCCAATCATGGCTGTGCCCCTGGGGCAGGCCTAGCCAAGTGGTCCCCTCACTTCTGTTTAAGGGCTGGAGCCATCGCCCTTTTAAATAGTCCCGGCGGGGAGCGCCCTGTGACTCAGCAGAGCTCGGGTCTGAGAGGCACCGCGAGGTAATCCCGTGGTCTCTCTGACTTAGTCCGCGGGGCTTTCTCCTCAGGGAAGTGCTCGAGGCCAGCGCGGGTCACGCGACCGCAGGGAGTGCCGCCTCCGCAGCTGAGCGCCTCGCCGGCCGTGCGGCCTGAGAAGCCTGGACAGGCCTGGGGCAGAGAGGACTGGAGACAGGAAGGGACCATGCGCTTCTGCTCCCGAGGTTTCACAGTGTCAGACCCCTCCCGGGAGCCTGCCGTGCGAGGCTGTCTCCTGTGCAACGTAAAACACGACAGCTGGGCAATTGTACATTCTCTCCTCCCTTTCCAAACACCAGATCTCAGAACAGAGTCAGGTTCAGCTCTGCCCCGAGCACACGCCTGGCACAGACGCTCTGTAAATGACTGACTAGGAAAATAGAACCAGGTGAAGAAATCAGAGTGCCTTGACTTCACGATCTGCATCTGGGGTACAGGATGCTCTGGGGAAGAGCAGAGCGATGTGACCGTTAAGGCGGCCACGGCTGGGACGGGTGGATGAGAAAAAGGGGACGGACGGCCAAGAACCCCACACCAGCTTGGGAAACCACAGGAAAGGAAGAGGACATAACAACAAAAAGTACTGCTGAGCCCCAGGTTAAATCACCAAAAAATAAAAGCGATTTGATCTCCTCTCAGGTCAAAAGTTAAAAACAAACCAAACACCAAAAAGAGGGTGGTTTGCAGGAGAAACGCAGTCAGAGGTAAAACAGAATCACCTCTGAGCCGCCCAACGTCCCTGTTTCTTGTCCACTCCAGAATCTTCAGAAACACCTTAATCAGAAAAGAAACAGAAGACGCTCCCGATCGCTCTCCTTACAGAAGTTACCTGGAGAATCGGCCGTGGATGCGTTACAACTCGAGGGCTGGGACCCACTTTTAAACCTGGGGGTGATCCTTCGAGGATGTGGAGTCGCAAAGAGCTGTTTGGGCGTCTGCCCGAACTCCAGGATCTGGGTGAGCACGGCCACCTTCTCGTCAGGGTCCTCCATGCTTTAGGACAGAGGAGAAGCGACGTGGTGAAGCAGCAGGTTCAAGCTCCCCGGAAGCACGAACCCCAGACAACACAGAGTAACGGGGACGAGATGAACCCTCTGACGGTAACAGTGGCTACGTGCGGGGTCGTCTGCACTGTACCCCAGGTCGGCAGGTAAGTTTCTGAGGCTCAGCAAGTTACATAACGGTGAAAGCAAGCTACAGTTCAGTGTCAGATTTCCATCCCTTAGTATCAAATAACCACATCCATCATTTAGACAAAGAGGCAATTTGTAAACAGAAACCCCTTACAGACACACAAGTACCTGTTCAAGTCTACGCCTCCTTCATAGGTCAGGGGATGAAAAACTGGAAAAAAAGAGATGTGAGATAGAACACGGCTGAAAGAGGAACTCTTTTGTTAGAACATACGCTCCGTTGAGAACTGCAAAAACTCATCAACTTTAAACTTTTATTCAAAGAAACTGAATTTCAGTCTGCAAAACAGCCTAGTAATCTCCAACGTGGGTAAAAAATCAACCTGAACTATTATCTTTCCCTGAGCAGCAGTGTACCTGGCGCTGAGCTCACCTGTCGTCCCAGGGTCTTTCTGGGTCAGTGCCCCTCTGCTCCGGGGGAGCCCAGCCCCCTGCACGGCCCGGCCAGGTGTGCCAGGGGTCGGCCCCACGTCCCTGTTACCTGCGCCAGGAAGTCCAGAGGAGGTGAGAACTACATTAGGAGCAGGTGAGGGCTGCCGGCTTCCTTCTGCTCAGTTAAAAAGAAACTCTGGGGCCTTCTTAGGAACTGAGGTGGCTGTTCTAGCGTACTCAGACTGAGTTCTGAGAGAAACGACTGTATAGGATGGGAGTGCAAGCTAGAATTACAAGACTTTAGAGAAAGACTTCTTGGGACCACAGAGAAGTAGGTGATCTTCAGGTGACAGTCCTTCCTCCTCTTTTACCCTCAGTGTCTGATCGGGGTCCCTGAGCCAGTGGGCACTGCCTGCTGAGATAAGGTGCTTCTGCGCAGGAAGTAAGCTGGACCATTCTGAACTCATTTTTTTGGTTTGCTTCTGTTTAAACGCTAAGTGAAGTGTGGACGACAGGGACCCACCGTTGTGGGCTCCAACCGCGTCCGCTCCTTTCTGCTTGTAGCCGAACACGAGGTCGATCCACTCGTGCAGGTGCTCGGACACGTAGCTGCTCTCCAGTGCCTCCCTGCTCTTCCGCAGAAAGTCCTCGGGACCTAGGAGGTCAGACACGGTTCAATCAGCCCGTCACCCTTTGACTTTCTCCCGTTTCTTCCGTCTGACCATGGGCAGATAGCGCTTCTGGGATCAGCAAGAGGGACGTGTTTCTTTCTTAGTGAGGTTATTCCCTCCCATCATAGATAATCTAAATCTGAGGGGGAGTTGTGGCAAAAATGATTTTCACAACATTCAGGTCTCTCAAATACATAATAAATGTTTTCACATCATAGACCCAGGATACTTACAATTTGGAATAAGACTCTTACCTCATTTAGACAGAATTATAATGTTATTTTTTTAAATCTAGGCAATTGAATAATTAATTAGCTATACTGAGACCGCACTGCCAGGCAGAGGACTTGTCTGACTCGGTACTTCTAACTGGTACTCACTCTGCGCCCACGGGGGAAGCTCCACGTCATCAACCATCTGCCCTCCTTGTCTCTTCCCCAAATCCAGCTTCAGACTGTTGACTAAAAAGCTGATGTCATCACCGTAGAACTCCGGAATCAGCTGAAAGTTTCAGGGGGGAAGAAAAGAACAACAACATTTTTAAAGCCGTTAGAAACCACCAGCCCGGTGAACCATTAGCGTGGGGACTGCTCACCTCTTTAAAATCGGTTGCGCCATCCAAACAGTTTTTCCAAGTTTCTGCGATACTGAATGTGAAAAAAGGTGAAGTGATTTTGAATCAAGGGTACGGAAGCGGCGGCAGCAGCACCGTCTGGGCGCCTGGCTTCTAGGTACGCGCTCGGTAACTCGTGATTTCCCCACACCCACACGAGGGTCCGCCTGCGACAGAAGAGAAAACCCTGGGCCCACTCAGGGAGGGACCACGGGGCCAGGACATGGACCCAGAGGGGACGTCTCCAAGGCCAGGCCAGGAGCCCCCCCAACACCACAGCCTCATTAGGGGGCCACTGGAGGCAGGTGCTTAAACATTGAAAACTGAGCACGACTATTTTAATAGCTCATTTCAAAAACGGACTATAAATAAACACATGCAGAGCTTCGAAAAAGGTTGGAAAGATGCAGACCAAAAGATGAACACAGTGGGTATCATCTCTGCACGGTCAGATGCCCAGCGAACTTAATTTTCTTCTTTATATTCTCTGATTATTTTGGGTAAGAAAATATTACTTTATAATAAGAAAAATTATTTAAACACACATGGGGAATTGTATTCAATTCACAGCAGGATTATTTACAATAATGAAATGTTGGAAACGCTCTAAATGTCCAATAGAGAAACAGCTAAAATAAAGAGTTCAAATGAATTACGGCATAGGTTAGGAAGTGATACAGTAATTTAAAAAAAATCACTTTTTTGAAGAACATCTAATAATATGGGAAAAACTTCAAGATCTAATATGAAGCTACAAAAGGCAGGACAAAACCCTGTATTTAAAGCATGTTCTCACATTCACACGTACACACACACGACCATACAAAGCCTGAGAGGAACAGGCAGAGCAATTTCTGCAGTGGTTTTTTACATTTCCTTCCATTTTTGTTTGTATCTAGGGTTCAGACGTGAACACACCGCGCATGCGTAATTAGAAAGCGTAAGGGGTGTTAGGCGAGGCATCGTGGCACACCTGTTGAACATTCTATCTGCGTTATCGAATCTTCCATTCTGCAGACACAGCATGTACTCTGGCGCTAAAGGGGGAGAAAAATCAGAGTTAGGATCATGATCACAGCCTCGCGGAAGAGTCCACGTGAAATAACGCTGAACCGGGAGCGGCGACGGCATCTTACCGATCCTCACAAGATAGAACAGCACGTAGCCCGGGGAGGAGTAGTGGCTGCCGTACATGAACTTGGGCTCCGGCATCTCCTGGTAGCGCGCCTGCAACACACGGAGCAGGAGCGCTGCTGGGTACGCGCGGCCGTGACTCCGGCAGCAAAAGCCTGCAGGAGTCCCGGCGCGGATACATTCTATCTATCCCCTCGCTTCTCTCCTGGGCAGGAACAGGAGACCATGACAAAGAGCGGGGATCTGAATAAACACAGCATTCTTGCCAGAAGGGTCTTGGTTTTCTTGGCCCAGGGGTAACAATGCTGGGGCTGGACTGAAGAGAGGAAATTTCATGCATCTCCTGTGCATTTCACCCGAGAGCACCCTCATGAAAATAAATCAGTAAATCTGCCATCAGCTCAGCCTCTTACCTCCAGGATCGGAGGCAAAAATGCAAATGGTGAGCAGCAAAACTCATGGGGCAAGGACGGCAGTGGGCAGAGATGGGAGGGAGAAAAAACCCGCGCGGACCCTTTGGTCCCTTGGGATAGACCCGCCCTAAGTCTGCAAGAAAAGAGCTCCAGGTGCTACAGAAACCAGGCCAGGGCTCCCGGCTGCTCAGAAACGAGGAGCCCCCGAGCCCACATACCAGCAGCCTCTCCAGACGTTCCTTATTGAGGGCCCCTACTGGCTTACTGAGGTCCCGGAAGGTTCCTGGATTTGACAAATCTATAAAATAAACAAATGTTTAAAACGTACTGAATTAAAATAAGTAAAGCAAGCAAGCTTATACTTAATGTTATCTCCCTGAACTGATTCGCACGCACACATTTATTTCCAAATAATAAATAGTTTTTTAAAAAAATCAAGACAGACCCTTTAGAATTACGGTATTTCCTATGGTTATTTATACAGCTATAAAGGTTAGAATGTGGGCGTTTTAAGTTAGTGACAGCCACTCAGGTAACATCTCTAATGTGAAAATACCCTGCATACTGATTTTTATACAGAGACCTGATTAAAAAAAACTACATTCCAAGTAAAACAACAACAAAAATAAACAAATTTCAAAAGCCATTATTCTTCTGCAAAGATTTACTTTTTAGGTATGAATCACAGTGAATATTATTATTCTGTGATAACAGCGTAATTCGAGAACTGGGGACCTGAACATTATCAGAAATAAATTGTGTTCCTAGAAAATGTTACCTTCTGTTACCCCTTTCAAGTACAAGAGTTCAATTTATGAACTGCCAAAAGTAATTTATTGTTCACAATATCTAATTTTAAGATATTACAAAATAAAGTTACAATACAATCATTCTATTAAAATAATTTGAGAATGCAGTCTATACACCACAAAGTTAAAACAATCATCTCTCAATAATGTAATAATTGATCATTTTTACTTCCTCCTTTGAGTCAGTACTTTCTAAGAGTCCCATCATGAATAGCTATTACGTTCAGTAATCACATTTCTGAATGTGAATTTACAAATAATATAACCTGAGATGCAATTTTCCAAGTGAAAAACTTATTTCACAGCGTGGTACTAAGAGGTAATAATGGTCACACAGGCTTAAAATTACACGCGTTTTCTGGGTGTGTCCTTCAAGAAGCAGGTGAGTACTTTTTTTCAGGAATAGAAAAATTCAGTGACAGTAAGAAACATACGGATGCGTGGAATTCACATAACACTTCTCCGGTGTCGCGGAGGGGAGACCGGCCACCCCGAGCGGTAAGGCGGCCACGGACTTGACTCTGCTCAGAAACCACAACGTGGCTCCACGGTGGCCCGTCCTCTCTGCGCTGAGCGCGGGGGCCCTTACCCAGCTCCGGGCTGCTGTAGTCGCTGACCACCCAGGGGAACACAGGGTACTGGGAGAGGTCGTTGCAGCTGCGGTCGGCCAGGCTGTTGAGGTGCAGCAGGTACTGGTAGTTGGACAGGTGCCCCCGCTGCCACTGCAGCGTGTAGCTCTCGGCCGAGTGCTCTGCCACGTGGTGCTCTGCGGGGACAGGCCGCTGGGTCACCACTGCGCCCGCACGCACGTGACAGCCCTGCCAATGTTTCCCACACAGACCCTCCCACCCTCTTTGAAAAGCCCATTTTAGAACAAGAAAAGCAGGCTACGATCTATTCCGTTAAGAATGAGCATCTCCAAGATCCAGGAGGGAAACTTACTAAATACAGGATATAAAACCTATCATACCTGTTAAATACATGCTGTAAGCCAAGTATGAAAGTGCGGAGCAAATGTATAAATATTACACGGTAACAAAATATTTACTAGGTTACATATAGGCTACAACATGTGCTAACAAAGAACCCCTCCAAACGGGCTTGAGTTTCACTGCCCTTAAGAAGCCAGGACTGTAAAAGTTCGTTTCCTACATTTTTAACGAAATCAAAACCAAAGTCTTCCAGTTTTCTTTCAGATCTGGAAGAGCGGTATTACTGTGAATTTGTGAACGACTACATATTATTTATGCAAGTGAGGAATAAGGAAAAGAAGAAAAACTGCTGAGGGAGAAAACAGGTCTGTGTCGGGAGGAAGCGATTTCTCAACCCCGCAGAGCCAGAAAGACCACACGAAAAACGGAGTCACAGACCGTGTGGCACCGACGATAACTTTCCTGTAAAATGAGTCAACTGTTCTATTTTGTTCAGGAAATTTTGCTTTTTATTGGCTGCATCAAGCAACGTATCTAAGTCATTTGCTGATTCGATATTTATTCTTATTTATTTTGCCAAGTTTCTTCTCTAATCACCTACTAGGAAAGGGCTTAAAAAAAATCAAAACACGCATCCTCTGATTTTCCATTCTCAGAACACATCAGAGAAAGTCTGGACAACACGAGGAATAAACTCAGGCAGAACCGAGGGCGTCACAGAAGCAGGCTCTTAAGGCCACGGCAAGTTTTCTGACTTGAGATTTTTTTTTTAGGACTCACCATGAAAATTGAGTTTTTTGTTGTAATCTTGTTAGACTTAGAGAAGTTAAATGAAAAAAATTAAATCCACAGGCAGGAGATAAAAGTAAACTTGTACCAAATTAAGTTAAACTGAACAGCTTAATGTGAGAAGAAAAAAATAATGAATTCTAAAAGCCGCTATGAATTAACAAAGTATGTTCCTTACTGAAAATAAACTATTCCTCCTTGCAGGAAATTTCCTTTCTGAGGGAGTATGCTGCATAGGGCGCAGACGGCTTCTCTGGACACCAGGGCAGCAAACAAAACTCAGGTGGTGGTAGCAAAACCCCAACATGTTTTTAGAAGTCACTCCATTCTAGTCAACGTGAGCTCTGAAAGCAAGGGTCTAATTCAGCCATACAACTTACACGTGCTTATGCTTGAAAAGAAAAACACAGGTGTTCTCTCGGATAAAGGTGGGAAAGTTCACATTTCCTACGGAAGATCGTGGAAATACTAGTCACAGGCAAACTGATTCCCGTGGGACCGTGTTACACTTTTCATGTGTTCCTTTTGTACTTTTTCCAGCTTTGTGACTTAAGACCACAGTTAATGATCACAAACACATGACTGGATAACCCAGTCTCCCATGAAGAAACTCAGCCCTGGTTTTCATAACTGGACACAAAAGTAATTAGGGGATTCTTTGTAATCCATTCAATCGGGGCGTTGTTTAGATGTGAAAAATATTTAAATATATTTATCACGAGTTTTTAAAATACAGAATTGGAGTGAATTATTACCAAATTTCATTTCTGTTTCCCTTAGTTTTTTAAAATGCCTTTCTGCCACCCAGCGCTGCTGATGAGAAGAAATAAACAGAACCACAGGGAGGTGATTCTCGAGACAGCACTTTTCTTCTCGTTCCTTCCTGTCCCAGTTACTCGGGAGTTGAACGACCTTCACATGGACAGATAAAACGAAGGGTGAGCGCCAAACCTAGATACGTAGCAATATAAAAGTAGAGGTCGTCTCGGTCTTGAGGTTCGTAGAACTTCAGGTAGATGTCGGAACACAGGTCATCTTCTGTGCAGAACACTTCCAAGCCCTGCAAGTCCAGAAAGAAAAGAATCCAACCGCGTTCACCTTTCAATCCCAGTATAAGCGACACCACCACCAAGGCCTACCAATTAAACTTCTCTGTTTTTTGTCGGTTTCGTATGCATATTCTCCAACTACAAATCGGATTCAGCAATACACACAAACGTCCTAAGAACAGGACGTGTATCCCAACTCAACTTCATGAAACCTCTGTTGGTGCTGAACATTGCTACTGATAACAGCATTTCTGAATCTGTGATTTCGTAATTCAAAATTGGCTGACCCAGGTCTTCCCGTATCTTCTTCCAACACAGATATTTAGCTTTCTTTTATAAATTAAATAATAATCATGTCACTTTCACACACAGATCACTGAGCAAGTCCTTCATTTAATAGGCTGCAATTATCCTTAAGGAAACCAGCTGTGTGGACATGCTGGTCGGGCCCAGATGGGACGGGAACAGACGGGGACGGGTGAGCACAGAGCTGCCCGAGAGTCCACTCCAGGCTTTCACTGCTACTGCTGAGGGAACCGAGGAAGCGAACCCTTGAGGCTCAATTTCTTGGTAAAGCAGGGCATTACCTACCGCACAGGGGCTGCAGGTAAACGAACACTGTATAGGAATCACCCAGGACACAGAAGGGACTCAGGCAACGTCAGGTTCTTCTCTTTTTCTGACTCCACCTCTACGCCCAGAGGAAGAGATTTTTTATAGGACCTATTTCCCTAACCTTCTATTAGCACTGGAAGGGGAGAGTGGCCTTTTAAGTAACACAGGCAGGGAAACAGTTAAACTTCACCAACACAAAACGCAAAAATGATACGCTTAAAATTTGGCAGTGCTTTTGTAATGCCACCAACTTACTGGCTAAGCCTCAGAGGACAGATTTACGTTGATGTCAAATTAAAGCCCCCTGGGACCACGCCTCACGTGGGACTGTTTTCTACAGGAAGCAGGTGAGACTAACAGAAGAGGGGACGTGCTTATTCAGGGGGGGCGATGGGAGAGCCGCCCATGTGATGTGAATGGTTCTTTATCTCTTTCTCCCGCTCACCAGGCCCGAGTGCTGAATTAACATAACGTCACAGTGAATATAAGGCAACTCCACTGAGAGCTGACCTGGTAACAGCTTCCAAACTGTACTGGGAGACCCAGGCGCCAAGACCGGGGGGTGGTGCTGGACTGGATCTGCAGGCGCTGTCCCCACGCAAACCCAGAAACCCTGAGCACTTGGGACGGAGGGACTCCAGGGCACACTAGCCTGCTTGCTCGTGGAGCCAGAAACATTTTCCCAACAGCCCTCTGACCTACAGAGAAGGCGACCTTTATAAGTTTCCAGCTCATCCAAAAGGCGCTGCAAGATTCAGAGCCCGTTTGCTTACAGCGCAACACACCCGCACTTTCCAGACGTGCCCGAGTGTTTACAAGTCAGGAGACCACCTGGAGGGTCAGACAGTCACCCCGCACGACAGACGGCCCACGGGAACTCACCAAAGGCATGAGGCCGTGCCTCCGTTTGTAGATGCGGCGGACGTCCTGGAGGGTTATCTGGACCACGGGTGTCTTGAAAAGTAAAAAGACAGTCTCACACACACGAACGTTCTGACAGCGAGAAGCCACCCTCAGTGTCAGAAAGAGGCAAAGGGGACGCAGTCCTGCCTTCTTGGCGTGAACGTGGGAACAGCTGGACAGGGAGGTCTCAGAACAGGGCATCTCTCCCCTTACATGCTGGTCTGCCCTTTTCCACCAGCTCTGTGACGGTGGACAAGTCCCCGGGCCCCCACTCAGTCCCCCAAAATGATACCACATGCCTCTACCCTTCCAGGTACTGCAAAGGTGCCGAGTGAGAAGGGGTACAGGGCTGGTACGGACAACTCTCAGGAACCCTGCTGTCTTTACAGACCTACGGTTTGCTCAGAACCGACATACATCCTTAAGAATCCTGTTTTTCACCTCCTTAAAAACAATAGTGTATTACAGCTCATGAGTAACTGTGGTATTAAGCAGGGCCCCTAAACCTTCTGTACAAGGAGGAAAATGTTTCTTGCTTCTCTGGAGTCGTAAAACACCAGGCAGAGAGGAATGAGGGCAGAAAAGGCACTGAGACTGGCTCAAAGGTGACACATCCACCCTCCTCCTCCCAAGCGAGAGGGTGGAGCACCCTCAGAGGCACCTGCAGGGGTGGAAGGAGCCTGAAGAATGGCCAAGGACCAGCCCCGAGGTCTGGGAAGGGACCACGGCTCACACCACGGACCCTGTGCACACACTCGGTTACTTCTGCAAAAGGTTTGACTTGAGCCACAGCAACAGTGGTGGCTAAGCCCCTCGACTACAGCGCAGAGAATGCCAGCAGCATGCGCACTGTGCCCCCTGGAGGGCCGGGCGAGCGTGCCCCGCCACCTGGTGGACACAACTGTCACAGCACCACCTTTCACTTGGGAAGCACTAGGGCTTCGGTGACACAGGATGAGAACGTGTGTAGCCCTTCCAGGGTGTAGCCTACTGTGTCAGAACCGGTCCTTTTCTGACTGATGCTGCTGGCCGAATGGTCCAAGTGCACGATCAGAGAGTCTGAGGACTTCTACTCTTGTCAATCAACCACTCTGCGCAGGGGCCAGGTCTAGACGAAGCACCTGAGCTCTGCACCGCTGAGTGCGGTAATCGGAGCTCATCCCGACTTTCTGGCCTCGTGAGGCTAGAGCCGTGACAGAAGCCCGTCTCCACCATCGTACTAGGAGCCTCACAGCCGCCCGATCACAGAATCCACCCCCACAGGCACCTCTGCCCCGGGGAGAGGACCACTCCGTCTGCTTCTTGGGGAAAGATTCTGACCTGAAGATTTTGTTTGTAATTAAGGACAAACAAGAAATCTCGACTTAGGTTTATATACAAGGTGGGCGCAGAAAACACCCATTTCCCTTGATCTCAGCGTATTCCACTGCCCCCGTGCAGACGGGCTCCTGAGGAGGCATAAACCTCTAATGATCCTTTACAAAGTCACGAGGGGCAGGGGTTCTTTTCACAACACAGCAAGTGATCCCCAGCTGGCCAAAAATAGGCCAGGAGAGCTCAAACTCGGGTGCACGTGCATCAGGAGAACGTGGGGAGCCTGACCAGAGGTGGGAGGGGGGAGGGCAATTCTGATCCTCCCCAAGACGTGGGAACTCGGTGCCTGTGAAGTCAAGTTCACGGGAAAGGGCTTGAAGACAAACACTGCGATGCAAAGGACGCATCCCCTGGCCTGTGGGCTGACTCACCGGGTACCTGTTGAGAGGCTGAAAGTACAGGGTGGTGTCAGTGACGCACACGTGCCCAGGATTCGTCACCAGAGGTGTCACCATCTCTGCTTTGCACTCCATATGCAACGTTTCAGAGACACTCTGGAATCTGTGAATGTATTTTCCAGCAAAAACAAGAAAAAAAAATCAGAACTCGATCTACTTCCTAGGTGTCACTTTATCTGACGAGCTGCAGTGTGACTTTGCAGAACGTTGTGTCTAAACGCTACGTTTAACACAAAAAAAAATGGTGATACAGATCAGCCACTTAAATAAAACTGACTTTCTTTTAAAGGCTATAATGAATACTTGATTTTTAAAAAGCTGAAGAGGTTATGTATCACCGAAGACAGGAGGGTAAACTGCACCACACAGCCCTTTAGCTGAAGTCTTTACTCCTCCCGCAAAGAGTCAGCACTGGAACTGTTCTTACATGAACATAATTTTCTACTTTCATGTCCTTAGGACCTATTCTTACAGTCATATAAACCATGCTCACAGGGAGCATTTACCTCACACAGCTGCAAGGCTGCGGCTACACAACTCCAATTACTTGAGTGTCAGTCAGTCCAAAATACAGCCTTTGTGGAGTTCCTGCAGTCAAACCAAAGGTGACCCTACTCCCTCCTAAACTGCTCGAACGAGTCCAAAAGTCCATTTTTTTTGTTTTACTAATTAAAAAAAAACTAGAGGGGCAGAACCCAACTCATTGATATTTTAAGGCAATTACATCGTCAAACAACGGGTAAAAATGTCTCGCCTGTAAGTGGGACAGAAGCACACGGCAGGACAGGCTTCCTCCCCAGGCAGGACGTGAGAGAGACCTCCGGGCTCTCACCCTGACCACAAGCACCAGCCAGCTGCACCGTCCTGCTGCGCAAGGAAGACAGTAGACAAGACCTACGTGAACGGAGAGACTGAGCGCCGTCTCAGTCAAACCCCAGCAGGCTTTCCTTTACGGTACTTGAGAAGCTGACTCTAGATTTATACACAAGCACACAAGACCAAGAAGAGTGAAGACAGAAGGTAAAAAGGAAGACACGGTGCGGGACCCGGCACAACCAGGTGCCCTGGTTATCAGAAAGCCACAGTAATCCATACAGGGGAACCGCAGAGGAGCTACAGACCAGACAGAGCCCAAACCTGCGTAACATCAGGAAACCTACTTAAAGCAGGGCAAGAAACAAGAACAGGCTGGTAGGAAAATACAGTTACGTGCAGAAAATATATTGGACACTTGGAAAAGCCCCCAAAAAGGAGAAAAAAATGAGTAAAACCATTAGACCAGTAAGAACGCAGCCTTAGGAGACACCTTTGGAAGGTACGTATCACAGCCTGGCGGGTCACAAAGACTTCCCAGAAGAAGTGTCAGCTAAGCTGACACGGGAAGAGTAAGTAAGAGTGAGCCAGGTGTGGGGGGGGGGAGTACAGAGTGCGCGTGCTTGGCGCGCACGAGGTCCCGGGTTCGAGCCCCAGTACATTTCATTAAAATAAATAAATAAGCAAGCATAATCACCCCTCCCCCCTAAAAAACAGCCAGCCAGGTAGCCAGGTGCAAAAGCGGCAGGAGGCTGAGCATCCCTTCTACGAGAGCAGGTGCAGAGGCTCAGGGGGGCCACGGGGCACCCCCAGCATCTGGAGCAGAGGCTTCCAGAGCAGCCACGGTGACCAGCAGCGGAAAGGAGGGCCACACAGGCGCTCTGTGCAGGCGGGGTCGAGACTTTGCCCTGAAGGCAGTGGGCATCTGGAAGGGCTGTAAACAGACAAGCAATGTAAACAAGCCAGTTCTTTAGACAGAACACATGTTCATCGTGTATCAGGGCCGGTGGGGAGAGACTGGTGAAGGGAAGCCACGGGCCAGGGGATGAGCTGAGAGCCGCTCAGGGGTCCGGGCCGCCTGAACCCAGCTGGGCATGCGGGAAAAGACACGCGCTCACAGAGGGCAGACCTCGGGGCGCAGGGTCAGCAGGCCTTTCTGCCAGACAGACGGCAGCATGGAGAGGAGGCGAGGAAGCCCCCACGCTGCTCTGGCACCGAGGCCGGGCCACTCCCCCAAGGGGGCAGGTGTGGGTGAGGCAGACGGTGACATCCGTCCTCAGGTCTGGACACAGTGCATGAGGCATGAGATGACGCCACCCACCGCCTTCATCGTCGGGAAGCAAAATCATCCAATCTTACCTGTTTTTGTCAAACGATGTCCTCGCCAAACGTGACTGCAAGATAGCTGTTATCTATTAAGACACAACCAGTTAAGAAGGGTGGATATGAATATGTATGAGTGAGGTTAATGCACAGTAAAGCCACAGATCTTCAGAAACTCTTACCATAGCAGTTTGGTCCCCCAGTTTGTCCAGGCAGGATGCTCTGTGAAGCTACAATGTTAGAAACAGACACGAATTTATTTCTTCTCTCAGATGATACACAGATACTTCCTTAGAAGCAATGAAAAAATCACCACCATTCTGTTCACTTAGTTAACAGTCAAGAGCGATTCTGCTCTGTCTGTGGCTTCTTACAAATGTACAGTTTTCAAGTTCAACCCAGTTGAGTAAATCTGTCTCATATTTCTGAAAGAGGTTATTACGGTTTTGGTTAAGATGCATAAATATGAAATTCTTAAAAGTTTCTGCCCAAGTCCACCAGTGAAGGTCTGAGTAAAGCACTGACTTACCTGAAGCAGTGTCTCCACAACATCGTCCGCTTTGCCTGAAACATCCAATTCAAAGACATACTCCATGGTACCCTGTTGAAGAGGGACACACCCGGTCAAAGGCAGAGAAGCAGCAGCAGGTCAGGAGGTATCACTGCAGGGGCACGAGCGCCCTCTGCTGGGCAGTGCCCGGACCTGCCTGGCGTGTCCTCCCTCAGTCCACCTGCAACAGGGCGGGGGGGGGGCGTCAGGGGAGAATTTACTAGTTTAGTGGATTTACTGCTCTATTTATTATTTCTTCCTTCTGCTAACTTTGCTTAGTTCAATCTTCTTCTTCTAGTTCCTTGAGTTACACAGTTAGTTTTTCCTTTGAGACTTTTTTTTTACATTTTTTATTGATTCATAATCATTTTACAGTGTTGTGTCAAATTCCAGTGTTCAACACAATTTTTCAGAGACTTTTTTTTAAGGTAAGCATTTATCACTTTAAACCTCCTCTTAGGACGGCTTCTGCTGTATCCTGTAAGTTTCGGTATGTTCTGTTTTCCTTTTGATCACCTTGAGCTATTTTTAAACTTCCCTTCTTATTTCTTCTTTGACCCACTGGTTGTGCAAGAATGTAGTTTAATTTCCACGTACATGTGAATTTTCCTGGGGCTGTGGATTTCTAGTTTCATTCCACTGTGGCTGGAAAAGATGCCTGGAATGATTTCAATCTTCCTAAATCTGTTGACTTGCTTGTGACCTCACATGTGGTCTGTCTTGCCAAAAGTCAGAACAGTTGCCCCCAAAAGTCAGAACATTGGAACACGGTCCCGCCCCGTCCCTCCCTCCCCAGGGAGAGGACGGGAGCTGGGCTTCCCTGTGACCACGTGGCACTGTGCCGGGGGAGGGACTATAGTGGAAGGAGGCTGCTGATTTTCCTACCAGCTGCAATGTGGCTGATTCCACGCCAGCCAGCAGTGCAGGCGGCTCTTAACCGGTTTCCAGATCTCTCACAAAGGGAATCGGTTCATGTTTCTGAATCAGTTTCTCCACAAGAGGGACGAGGGTCTAGGGCTTCCTCTTCTGTCATTTTCACCATCACTGAAGTCACCATCCCCTCCCCCCTTTAAACATGAGGCTCCTCCAGTGTTCTAATTCACACTGGGAATGAAAGAGCTTCTCTTTGCTTCAGGAGACCTTACTCATTTCCTTTGATGTAATTTTGCAGACACCTTGCACCTTACGTGGGTGTCAGGAGAGCCTTTACAGGAAGAGCAAACCAGTCAGTGGTTCTCAACTGGGGG